AAGCATTGGTGAGGCGAACATGCCGTCCAGCCTCCCCGGACATGGTTGTGTTGGTCACCGCTACATGAGACCCTGTCTCCACCATGGCCGAGGGACAGCGAAAGAGGAGATTCGGCGGATCAGGCGGTATCGAGGGTGGTGAGCTGAGGGGGCCTATAAAACCAGCCGCCAGCCAGCGCTGTTTGCAATGTTTTCTTCTTTCCTCTTCACCGTCGGTGGCTTCGGCCTCGGCTAGTGATAAGATCATCGACGTCAACTTTCCCCCCTCGGCGCGTTGCTCCCTGTGAGCAACTAAATATAAACCAGGACCAGCAATGGCAGCCCGGGATCTCGTGGCTGCCATGACCCCTTCGTGGGAGCAGGCCATCTACCTATTCCTGGGTATTTGGTCGGTCTGGTTCGTCGGCTTGTCGATCCAGAGGTTGTGGCTGAGCCCTCTCGCCCACATCCCCGGTCCCAAGCTGGCAGCCTTGACCCGGCTCTACGAACTCTACTACGATATCATTCTCGGTGGACAGTACACGTTCAAGATCAGCGATTTACACCAGAAGTATGGGCCTGTCGTCCGCATCTCCCCCTCGGAAGTGCACGTCAAGGCACATGACTTTCACTCGGAACTCTACGCCAGCCCTATTCGCCCCCGGGCCACGTGGAACTTCTGGACAAGACAGGTTTGTGCTATCACACCATCATAGTAATACTCATCAGCTAACTTGCTCCCAGTTTGGTGCCCCTTGTAAGCTTTGGACCCTCTATCCTCTCTCTAGCACCTCTGACCGTACCATGCAGACAACGACCTCGCTACCATCGATCATAATCACCACGAGCTTCGTCGAAACACCCCCAACAACTTCTCCTCGAACCAGCAGGCCTGCAACTTGCAGTCTGTAATCGAGGAGCGGGTCGATGCATTGCTTCATGCCTTTGCTAGGTACAGCAACGATGTACCTGGCGTGCCGCTGAATCTAATGTATCCGTTCTCGGCGTTTGCAAATGGTATGTACATGAGCTGTTGTTACAAGCCTGACTCAGCTAACACGTTTGCCATAGATGTCATCAACGAATACGCTTTCGCACGAAGCGACCGCCTTAGTAGGGAAACCGGCTTTCGGATCCTGGCAATGTTGGGCTAACCTTTGGCAGTTGAGAAGTCGGACTTTGGAGCCCAAGTAACGGACAGCTTGTTGATGGGAACCCGCATGGGGCCCATCGTCAAGCATGCCAACTGGGCGCTCACCTTTGTCAACATTCTTCCGGAATCCCTCTCGGGTCGACTTGCACCCGGCTGGAGTGGATTCCTCAAGATGCAACACGACATTCTCGCCCAGATTCAAGAGATCAAGGCGTCCGAAAAGACGGAGAAGTGGCGGCTCTATATTGACCACCCGACAATCTTTCATGAGCTGCTCTCCTCCGCCGAGCTGCCCCCTGAGGAAAAGACGTCAGCGAGGCTTGCCCAAGAAGGCCAGATCCTCCTCCAAGGAGGGACCCTGACCACGTCTTGGACAATTTCGCTGGCGGCCTTTCACCTCGTGAACAAACCATCAACTCTTCGCAAGCTGCGGGATGAGCTGTTCGCTGCCTTCCCAGACCCAGCTGAGGCAATGCCTCTGGCCAAACTAGAGAATTTGCCTTATCTGCGGGCCGTTGTCAAGGAATCACTGAGACACGGCATTGGGACCAGCGGACGACTCGCCCGTATCTCCCCCGACGAAACTCTCGTGTACGAAGATGCTGAATCAGGCAAGGAATGGACCTTCCGGCCTGGCACAGTGATCAGCATGAGCCCCTATATGACCGTTATGGACAAGTCCATCTTCGATGATCCTCTAGGTTTCCACCCGGAGCGATGGCTCGAGGAGGGCGAAACCCTAGACAAATACCTTGATATATGGGGAGGCGGCACTCGAGGCTGCCTCGGAAGATCTCTCGCATATGCAGAGCTCTACCTCATGCTCGCGAAACTGTTTCGCCGTTGGGGAGGTGCTGGCGTTGTTGATGGTAGTAACGAAGGTGACCGAAGACTTGGAGACGTCGGCTACTTGAAAATATTCGAGACGACGACCCGAGACTGCGAGATGGCCTCCAACCATTTCATTCCCATCTCGCACAAGGTAAGCTGCCTTTCCTCCCGGGTGTTGGCGCGTATGAGGTGTGCTGACCACGATGCTACAGGGCAGCAAAGGATTACGGTTCCTCCTCGAAGCTTGCTAGCAGAGCAACGCTGATGACTACAACGACACAGACAAACATGGTTATGATTGATGAGAGATATGCTTCGACGATGACAAGCATTATGAGGCGACGATTGAGGGAGGGTGGCGGTGATGGGAATGGGTGTGGGTGGTGCTTCATTATCTCTGTCGAAGAGATATAGCATCACCGAGCACCTGTTCCGTCACCACCATGCACCACAGCTCCAATGAGCAACACCAAACTGTTTCCTTTGTCCATAAAACTCCACAAAAACCCAAGGGCCCAGAGTCCATATAAATGAAACGAAAAGAACTCTTATTGAGTAACAAAACACATGAGAGTAGACGTGCCGAGTGACTTCTAATGTGTGAGCCTATTCGCGTTGTACTGTAGGCGATATCTACGCCGTATTGTGCTTGATACAGTATATACATGAAAGTAACGATTCCAGCGTCACAGACGCGTAAACTATTTGGATGTGTAAGGCTGTTGAGGAGGAATGGCGCTTTTCCTGGGCGCGGTAAGTGATGCGGCGAGTTGAGGCGTTCCATCCATATGATGACCACGTGGACACGCGGTTCACCTCACAACGACCTCTCCCATTGCTTTGCGGCACGCACGGGTCCTGAAATAGACATCTGAGCACATTTTGAAACCTGAAACAAGACCACCAAGACCGACCAGGGGCGCAAAACGACCCCCGCTGACCCTCGAGGGGGGAGGGAACAAGATCTGTCCACGGGAAACAGCACAGAGGGCCCACTGAAAGACGGGACCGGCGCGTCAGACAAACCCCCGATCCGCCACGTCCAAAATGGGTTGATTCCTCGCCTCTTCGCCTGCAACCTCAACCTGGACAGAGCCTGAGCTGAGCTGAGCTGAGCTTCGTGTCCTTTTTCGTCTTCTTTTCGTTTCTTCCCGTCAGCCCTGCGCATCCTCTCCTTCGCCCGGGGGCATCGATTTCTTGCTTTTATACCCGACCCTTTCTTCTCCTTGTTGCAAATTCGTTGCTCTTCGTCTTGTCACATCAAGATACTGTCCATTGACCCGGCTCTGCGCGCTTGCACCTCGTTAGACCTCCGTTCGACTTGCACACATCATCATGGCCACCGTGCCGACCGATAAAGCTGCTGCCAGGAAGAAAATCCTGCGCATCATTGCAGTCTCGCTTCTTTTGGATCTGGTCGGTTCAGCCCAACTTCCTTCGTCGTTGCTTATGCTAACTCGTGCGGACGACAGCTCTCCTTTACCTTCATCTTGCCGCTGTTCCCGAAGCTCCTCGAATTCTACCGCGACCACGAAGGCGCCAATCTCAAGGCCGACGGCGCTCCCACGCTCCTGCAGCAGGTCCTGAGCGGCCTGAACAGCTACAAGGCCGCGTTTTCGCGCCCAATCGACTCCCGATATGACATTGTCCTGCTCGGAGGAGCAATGGGCTCTCTCTTCTCGTAGGTTCAGCCTTGCGTTCGGGATCTATGGCTCCCTTCTAACGGGAATCCGTCAACAGATTGCTCCAAGCCATCGCTTCTCCCTTGATCGGCACACTCTCCGATCGCTACGGTCGCCGCACGGCTCTTCTGGCGTCTATGTGCGGAAATATACTCTCCGTCCTGCTCTGGGTTGTCGCCGTCGACTTTCGAACATTCATTGCAAGCCGTGTCGTCGGTGGGCTATCCGAAGGCAACGTGCAGCTCGCGACCGCCATGGCAACGGATATTTCGGACGAGACGAGCCGTGGCTCTACCATGGCCATCATCGGCGCATGCTTCTCCATTGCCTTCACCTTTGGGCCTGGCCTGGGCGCATGGCTAAGCACAATATCCACCGTTGCTGCGAACCCTTTCGCAACTGCCGCAGGCTTTAGCCTGTTTCTGATCGTTGTTGAGACGGCATACCTCTATTTCTACCTACCAGAGACCCTCCCATCCATGACGGGCGCCAAGAGCGAGAAGAATGCAGCGAAGCCGGTCAAGAAGGCGGAGAGGACAAACTCCCACTTCTTGCTCAATGCCGTGCACTTCGTTTTCCTGCTCTTCTTCTCGGGCATGGAGAGCTCCTTGTCATTCATGACGTACGAGCTCTTCACCTTCACGTCAGGCAAGAACGGAAGACTGCTGGGCTACATTGGACTTGTCGCATCAATCCTACAGGGCGGAGTGACGCGACGCCTGCCCCCATTGACATCCGTTCGCCTGGGAGTCGTTGCTTGCCTCGGCTCCTTTCTTCTCCTTGCCCGGATTGATAGCGTAGCTGGACTCTACGGCGCAGCCACCTGCCTAGCCATTACCTCTGCTACTGTTGTGACGGGTCTCAATGCGCTCAGCAGTTTCGAAGCGAGTGAGGATGAGCGTGGAAACAAGCTGGGTATGCTACGGAGCTGGGGCCAGCTCGGCCGTGGCTTGGGGCCAATCTTGTTTACAAGTGTGTACTGGTGGGCAGGCCGAGAGGCTGCCTACAACATGGGTGCAGCGGGCATTTTGATTGTGGTGCTGGCTGTCTTCTCGGGATTGAAGACACCCAAAGGCGCAGCGAAGGCTAAGGCAACGGGAAAGAGCGATTAGATGGCGCCCAGTAGGCACATTGCAATATCAATCATATATGGGGGCTGGCTCTCTCTTTCGTCCGATATTCTGCTACGCGATCAGACTGTGATGTAAGCGTGGCACGGCGCGGCGAATAGAGCTCACTCTTGGCCGAAGAATGGGCTCACGGTTGCGCATGGGTTAGAGTGGCGGATGGTGCTACGCCAAAAGAGTATCCGGTCGAGGAGCAAAAAGAAAAAAGTTGCGTTGTCGAATGGTCGAAGCCCGCACTCGGATTTGCACCGAGATCCTTGGCTTTCTCCTAACAAGTAGGAGTCCAACGAGTTACTATTACTCTATACGGGCCTTATACCACTAGGCCACTGCTCGTACTACAATGGTCTTGTGGCTCGTTGGAGGGAGCCTGACAGTTCGGGCTTATGAAGGCAGTCAAGGGAAGCGGGCAGGCGGCTTGTCGAGGGATGATAGGCTGAGGCTGCGGCGAGCGGGCGGCTGCTTGCAGGTGCCTGTGCGACATCAGGGAGGGCGGATCGGAGGTAGGGCAGTGAGAGTGGTTTCGTCAGACACGGCTCGCTCGGTGCGTCAGGAAGACATGATCGTGGCCAGAGATCAATGTGCTGGTCATCTGTGGGCGATCAGGAGATGTTGGTCCGTCAATTGGTAGGCGGGAGACAAATTGCAAGAGGGAAGACGGATGAGGTTATATAAACTTGGCAGAAAACGTCCACTCTAATATGTGTATCTTCTTACCCTACTACCCTACCTCCTCCTAGCAGCCTCCCGGCTCCAGATGGATCCCAGGAGTCGCCGGCGCTTATCCACCCATCATGGCCTCATACCCATTGAATCTGGTTGCTTGGCACAAGGATGCAGGATGGCGGTTATCCCCTCATTACGGTTTGATGTTTGATACGCTTGTTGAGTCCAGCGTGGAGATAATACCGTGCCATCAAATTTCAAAATCCAAGGCTTCAAAAGCCATGACCACCGGCGAATCCCGACACGGAGCGCGATTTCAGTGACCGAAAATTTTACCTCCTTCTCAGGACGGCAACTGGCTTGCTACGCTTTTTACGCAATACCGATCGATCTAGCCCGCTATCCACAAGGCAGGCAAGTAGGTATGTTTGCTATCTCGACCGCCGCCACGTCTGTCTGACCCCGGCAGGCTGTGGGCAGGGATCGGCATGCAAGTGAGACCAGAATGAATCGAAAGCTCAAGGCATTGCTCCACTGTGGCTGGGAGCTTGCATCAGACCCTCCGGGCAGAAAACCTCGTCTCAACCCAGGCCACGGTTTGCCGCCGGAGGCCCCAGACAATGGAGTAGGCATATATGTCTCCTTGTTACAGGTGAAGAATATACGCTGCAAATGCCGCACCACTCAATGTAGGCTTCGGATCTCGTAGAGGGGAGGGGGCGATCCAGCGAATGGGTTCAGACAGTGTGTGTTCCTTTTCTCACGATGCTTACTTTACTTTTACCGTATCTACAGCAATACCCCTCTATCGAAGCGCTTGGCAGCGGTGGTGGCGACTGTGAACCACGGCGGGGCAAGCCGCTCCAGTGACGTTTCGGCTCTCATCTCCTGGGTGATTGTGTCGGACCAGGGTTCCCTTGTCTCTTGGCCTCGACCAAAGATTGTGAGAGAAAAAAAAAAATCCTACCTCATGGAGGGGGAGGGGGAGGGGGAGGGGCAAAGGAGGGGCAATGTGCTTCTCAACATGCCAAAGTTCAGCGCAGAGCATCTTGGGTTTGTGCAGCCCATGCACTATTCCTCGAAAAGCTTGGGCTTCTCATGATATCTGACTTGCTAGCCGCGTTACCAAGGTAGTGAAAAGGCTGCGCGGGCTTATGCGAATGGCAGACCGTACCTCCGACTTGCGACACTTTGGCGTCGCACGCGCGGGAGGCATCGAGGGGTGGAGGGGCAGTGAGTCACGGTTCACCTCTCGAAAACATCCCACCTGCTCCTCTCCCATGCAGAACGGGCGCGTACTACTGACTGTTGGGCACAGAAGGATTAGGATTGGGCTGCAGGGTCAGAGCAATGTCACTCTGTGAAACCATCAGGCTGTAGCAAATTTTTTCTTTGCCTTCCCAGGTAGCTCCAAAACAACAGCCACCTAGAGCTCATCAAAGCCCGTGTCGATTATGCGCAAAGTCCCTGCATGTATCTGCTAGCAGCTGACATGTACCTCCCAAAGTGCCCACGAGCAAGGGTCGTGAGCTTCGTCCATGTACCGAGCAGGGTGCCGTTTGAGCCTCCCAAGTCAAGCCAAAGAACCATCATGACCGGCCTACAGATGACGTTGGCACCTGATAGGATCAAGTGCCAGAAAACAAGAGCGAAAGTACTGGATAATAGAGAAACGCTGTAGCTATCTAGAATGGCGAAAAAGCTGATGCAGCAGTTATGGTGGTGATATGAATGGTAGAGGCGCACACCTACCTCCTACACAGGTAGGTATTGCTAGACCTTGGCTTTGCTCGTCAAATGTTTGCGCCGTATACGAGGGGCGGCGTGAAGGAGGAGCAGAGACGCGCTCCGTCAGGGAAATCCCAACACTTGCGAAGACAGATACACGCAGGCGAGTCTAGACCTTGAATCACATACGATTGTGGAACTCCTCATGGCATTTCACAAGATATGACTGTATCGGCGTAGAGTCACAGTCGCCGGCAAGAGGCGCCTTCCTGCCTGCCAGCAGGTACTTGCCTCACCGGTTCGAGGTACTTGCTCGACCTTGGCCGACTCAGCCCAAGTACATGCCGTCCGTACCCAAGCACGAGCCGCTGATTGGCCCCTTTCGGGGGAAACTACTGGTGCGTGGGCAAAAATACTCTGAGATGTTAGGGCTTGCCTGAAGGTTTTGTGGAAATGTTGCCCCTCCTCTGTTTAGCCCCGCGCGTAGGTGGTAGCAACACATCATCCACCCCACCTCCCCTCCACCACTCATCCTTTTAAACTCCTCCTCCCGCCGTACGTTTTGCGAATTTTTCTTCCCTTCTGCTCCTCGTCTCGCATACCCGGTTCAAGCATCCGACCTGCGAATTTGTATGTCCAAGACACCTCACCCTCTTCCCTCCTTGACACTCTGGCTAATCTTCCTGCCTCTCCAGCAAGCCTAGTCAACCGACTCCAGAAACCCACCTCACAAACCGCCCAAAATGGCGTATGTCTGCTCCCATGTTGGCGAGGCATCCAGCCCTTCTCGGGGATGGACTCGTTCTCCACGTCGAATCAGGCACTGACAACTCGACAGCAAGGACGATAAGCGCAAGCACCTCAACGTGGTCGTTATCGTAAGTTGCTTCGCCTGCTCCTCTCTACCATCATGATGCTAACAAACAACTGTAGGGGTTAGTACCTTGACGAACGCACCGCCTCAAGGCTTTCAAACTGACCATACCTAGCCACGTCGATTCCGGCAAGTCCACCACTGTGAGTCTCCCCCGTTTCATTCACGACACCACCACCTGGTGACGGCGAATGAGCCTCTTTGGCCTCAAACCACACGCATACTAACTGAGTACCAGACCGGTCACCTGATCTACAAGTGCGGTGGTATCGACCAGCGTACCATCGACAAGTTCGAGAAGGTAAGCCGCCCTTCCCCCTTTGCATGAGGGAGCAGAACCCTCCCTTCCCTCCATCATATACCCTGCCACTCGCACCATTCACCATCCCGCACATGTATCCCAGCATGGGCATTGCTGTGTATCATGTTGTCACACTGTCGCTCTCATTCAAGAAAGAGTTCATCCACTGACAATCGCACAGGAAGCCGCCGAACTCGGCAAGGGTTCTTTCAAGTATGCCTGGGTTCTGGACAAGCTCAAGGCCGAGCGTGAGCGTGGTATCACCATCGACATTGCTCTGTGGAAGTTCGAGACTCAGAACTACTACGTCACTGTCATTGGTAAGTTGGACAGAGCTTCTCGCATTCATTCAACCGCTAACACGCTCATCAGATGCTCCCGGTCACCGTGATTTCATCAAGAACATGATCACTGGTACTTCCCAGGCCGACTGCGCTATTCTCATTATCGCTGCCGGTACTGGTGAGTTCGAGGCTGGTATCTCCAAGGATGGCCAGACTCGTGAGCACGCCCTGCTCGCTTTCACCCTCGGTGTCAAGCAGCTCATTGTTGCCATCAACAAGATGGACACTGCCAACTGGTCCGAGGCTCGTTACCAGGAAATCATCAAGGAGACCTCTGGTTTCATCAAGAAGGTCGGCTACAACCCCAAGACCGTTGCCTTCGTCCCCATCTCCGGCTTCAACGGCGACAACATGGTCGCCAAGACCGACAACGCTCCCTGGTACAAGGGCTGGTCCCGCGAGGGTAAGGCCGATGACCTGAAGACCCCCAAGGAGAAGACTGGCTTCACCCTCCTCGAGGCCATCGACTCCATGGAGCCTCCCGTCCGTCCTTCCGACAAGCCCCTCCGTCTTCCTCTCCAGGATGTCTACAAGATCGGTGGTATTGGCACAGTCCCTGTCGGCCGTGTCGAGACTGGTGTCATCAAGCCCGGCATGGTCGTCACCTTCGCCCCTGCCAACGTCACCACTGAAGTCAAGTCCGTCGAGATGCACCACGAGCAGCTCCCTGAGGGTGTTCCCGGTGACAACGTTGGTTTCAACGTGAAGAACGTCTCTGTCAAGGACATTCGCCGTGGCAACGTCGCTGGTGACTCCAAGAACGACCCCCCCATGGCTGCCGCTTCTTTCAACGCCCAGGTCATTGTCCTCAACCACCCTGGTCAGATCGGTGCCGGCTACGCCCCCGTTCTCGACTGCCACACCGCTCACATTGCCTGCAAGTTCTCTGAGCTCCTCCAGAAGATCGACCGTCGTTCTGGTAAGGCTACTGAGGAGAGCCCCAAGTTCATCAAGTCTGGTGATGCTGCCATCGTCAAGATGGTTCCCTCCAAGCCCATGTGCGTTGAGACCTTCACTGAGTACCCTCCCCTCGGTCGTTTCGCCGTCCGTGACATGCGTCAGACCGTCGCTGTCGGTGTCATCAAGGCTGTTGAGAAGTCTGTTGGTGGTGCCGGCAAGGTCACCAAGTCTGCTGCCAAGGCTGGCAAGAAATAAGCTATCACGCCTTAAGGTAAACCAAAACCTGATGCGGAATGCACTCATTTCTACGACGGCATGATTCCCTTTGTTCTGGAACGAATCTAAAAGATTGGTCCGGGACATACAATGAGAGGATGGTACTGGAGGATGAATTACGTCTGGAATTCCCTTTGTGCTTAACAAAACTCAAAAGCTAGAATCTAGAAATGATTTCTGCTACCACCATTGACTGACTCTCATCTTTGCGTCGCATGTGACA